GGTCTCACCAAGTTGCCCAGGTGGGTCTCAAACCCACGGACTCAGGCAATCCACTCACCTTAGCCTCCCAAGGCGCGGGATTACAGGCTGAGCCACCGGGCCTGGCTGCATTCAGACATTCTACTGCAAAAAACAAGCAGCAGCCCATCCTATGCCCCCTTGGCAAATCTCCATCAGATGCAAGACCAGGACAGCCCAACCTTTCAATTCATGGTTTAGCATAATCATCTCTAGTAAACTTTTAGGTTCCTTGTCAAGGTTGAAGATCAAAGGTCACCCTTTGGCTGGCCAAAGTCATAAAAGTAATAACATGACTACCTTTGGTCGAGGAATTTGTGAGTTGCAAATGTCTAACAAGTCTCTTGCAGGAAACCCCCCACCCTAGGGTTAACCTAATCAGCCCTTTGTAACCTACGTGACACAAATAAACCCCACCATGGCAGCAATCCTGTGACTAACCCACCCATCTGCCTGCTGTCCATCACCTGACATCATCAGTACCCTCTTGCCTACCCGTTTGTGATGACATGGAAGCAGACCACCACCCAATCACCTTAATGATCTTCCCCCCATCAAGGGGAATGGTTAAAAGGACTCAACCACAAGCAACCGGCGGCCGTTGCCTTGCTAGACTCTGGTGTGGCCGTGTGCTCTTTGAGCCATGGCTGTCGCCACGCTTCCTGGCTTTACCTCCCTCCCCCACCTTGGGGAGGTGAATTTTCTCTTTCCCGTCTCTTTCTCTAATTTGCTTTCAAATAAACGTTCCTTTCTTTCACCTCTTTGTGTGTTGTAATTCTTTGCATTTACTCGGATCTCTGGGTTACGGGCGCTGCACCCCCCACTTGCCGGCATCTCCACCTCTCCATCCATCCTCACCCTGTCCGTTCCCTAACACTCTGCATCCTTCTGTCTTATGCTTCACATCTCATCTCTCTGCTTCCCTTTAGAATCACCTGGTGGGAAGTTCTGTCCACCTTTCCTGGTCATTTCCCTTGGCCCACCCGCCACTGAGGCCCTCATCAAGCCTCCCCCAAACTTCCTGGAGCTCTCTGCCTTGCAAAAAAGGACCAACCACTCCTTCAAACTCCTCTCTTGGGCCTAGGGAACCTCCCCACTGCCCTACCTGCACTCTCTGACCGGGTGACAGGGCTGTGGTCCCCCTGAGAATGAGCCTTTCCAGGAGTCCCTGCGGCTGCTTGGAGGAGGGAGCTTGGAAGAGAGCAGTTGGAGAGCCAAAAGCCATCAGGAAGGGTAGCCTTCTCCAGCATGATTTGTGGACTCCCAAGCAGAGTGATAAATGAGGGGCACAGGAGACCCCATGTGCCTTTCTCAGTGAGTGTGAAAGATTCTGTGTGATATTTTTGGCACACTTTTCTCAAGCACTCGCTGTTATGTAGGGTGCAACTCAGACCCGCCGTAAGGGTCTCACCGATTTAAACCAGGCATATTCTAAACATATTGAATAACATATATTCCACATAAACCAGGAAGACTACCCTCAATTCTGGACTTGAGGGTCTAAAGAAATCTGTCTTTGTGAGGAAAGATTTCTCATCTATCATGTGTGGCATTCCCACTTCTGTTCCTTCCCTGTCATCTTTATCCGCGTTCTGGTAGCAAAACCCAACTCTAACCAGCTGAAGCAAAAGAGAACGGATTCATTGAAGAGGACGAGAAGCAGAGTGGACCCTAGGGGCACCTGATCTCACCATCCATTCCCTCTGTCACCGTAGGGTGATGGCTCTGTGCTCTCTGAGCTGCATCTTTCTAAAGCAAGAGACCAGGCTGAAGGAAACTTGTGGCCACATCCCCAGAGCCTTGAGAACAAAGAGAAAAGCTTTGCCCCCAGAAGTTCCAGCACAAAGCACACTATGGAGGAGATTTTGTGATTGGCTTGGCTGGATCACGTGTTCTTCTCTGGATCATGAGTAGAAGGATTCCTCCAGCAGAACCAAAGGTGTGAAGAACATTCTCTGAACACAGGGAGGACACACAGCACCATCACCCTCTGCTGCATCTCCTGCAAAATTTTGTATTTAAAACAACTCTCGACTCCTTATTGTCCAGACAGATAAAACCTAGGTTTTGTGTGCAGCCCTTCCCTGTGTTCCACCAACCCAGCTCACCAGATCTCAGATCCTTCAGATCTCCTGACCTTGAATTCCCTTCTCCTAACACCTCCTCCTGTGTCTGTCTGAATTCCTACTCCATCTGTGGGGCCCAGCAATCGTCAGCACCCTCTGCAAAACTTTCCCCTTCCACTGCATTCCACCTACAATGCATCCGTTCACCCAGCAGAGCTCTGTGCGGACTCTGTGACATCTCTCTTCACACCGGATTGTGTTTCATCTGTCACCTCACCAGGCTTCAGAGTCCTCAATAGCAGAGCAGCGCTTGTCTGTATCCTAGCAACAAGCTACTAGCATATAGTAGCTGCACAAGAAATACCTCCCATGGCTCTCGTGAACAGGATAAAATAGTGTGTTATATAAGAAACTACAAAATAATGTAAAACCTAAATAACCCATGTTTTGCTCTCTTCTGTGAAAATGTAGTAAACTGCACACCGTTTTAGTTGGGAGAAACAAGAGGCTTTCTCCTCTTTCACTTTATCTAAGAAATTCAATATTTCAGTGTGTCCAAAATCATTTTTCCTCACCTCATACCTACATTGCTGCTTTTAACATTTCATTGTTGTTCTAATCTCTCCTGTGACATTTCAATATTGTAAGCCAGTTCTCTCACCTGCAGGAGAACCAGCAGGGGCAAGACCGTGGATCCAAAATTATTTTCCCAGCAGGTGGCCTAACCATTGATTCTAGTCGGGGGAGCCTGTGACTTCCAGGCAGGTGGTTTTCCCAAACTGGAAATCTGCCTGTACTATTCATAGAAGGGTGTGTGTGTGCGCGCACACATGCATGTGCAGGCTTGTGGGCATGTGCAAGTGTGTGTGCTCAGGTGTGTGCATTGAAGGAATGAGGTGGGAAGGAGAGACAGAGGGAGAGCTCCATGTGTATCGTATGGGCTGTTGTTCAAAGCAGACATGTCTGACTCTTACCTGCCTGGGTCTCCTCCAAATTCTCCCTGGCTAACCCGAGCAGGCTGAAGGCCCTGGGGAGCCTTACCAGATTATCTTTTCAAAAGTGGGAGGGTGGTCGCACCCGTGCTGCCCTGTGGTCTAGACATTCACAAGCAACTTATCAATGTGATCCTGGGCTCATCTTTTTATGCTGTTTTTATTTTTCCACAGAGGGCTCATTGCCAGCAGTTTCACGGAAACCCACTATCTGGAAGATGGTACTGACGTCTCCCTCACTCGAAATTACACGGTAATTCCAGCACATTTAGATCGTCACAATACTATGCTATCGAATCTGTGCTTAAACTTTGTAGCCATTTTATTCTGAGCAAAACCACATGCCCACATTCTTAACTTAGGCCGCAAGAAACACTGTGTGTCTCTTAGTGTCCAAAACCACTCCGACTTTGGCCAGGTTGGTACCAGGACAGCTCTTGGAAGAATGGTTTTATAGCAGGGCTGACCTTGAAGCCACCTTCCAAGAAATATGGTTATACATTTGGGCAAACCCTTTTAGAAAACCTAGCCAAAGTTAGAGATGGTTTGGAATGTGGTCATGCCTAAACTGGACTTTGCTACATTAAATTCTGAAGTACCTTAAAGAAATTTAAAAGCGTCCAGGTGCAATGGCTCATCCCAGAGCTTAGGGAGGCCAAGGTGGGAGGATCACTGGAGACCATGAGTTCCAGACCAGCCTGGGCAACATAGTGAGACTGTCTCTAAAAAAAATTTTTTTTTAATTAGCTAGGCATAGTGGTGCTCACCTGCTGTCCCAGCTAATTAGGAGACTGAGGCAGGAGGATCACTTGAACCCAGGGGGTGGAGGCTGCAGTGAGCCAAGATTGTGCCACTGCATTTCAGCCTGGGCAACAGAGTGAGATATGTCCCCCCCAAAAAAGAAAAGACAAGACAAGAAAAGAAAAGAAAAAGGAAAAGAAATAAAAGACAAAAAAAAAAACAAAACCCTAACTGTGTTTACCTATTATAAACATATCTACAATATCATGATTCTATATCATGATTGATACTGTAAAATGACATTTAACACCTCTCAGGGAGCCTTTCTGGTATTTGAACTTTTAGATGTAACTAGACAAAATGTTCATTTCACTTATCTCTTTAACAAATGTTTGCCACACACTCTCTATGATTGGGGATTCAAAGGGAATAGGACAAGGGTGCCTGCCCTCAGAGAAGTAGGACGGTACTTGTTTTAAAGAGCTATGGTATTTGTTTTAAAAAAGAATGAGCTTAGAAGCAAGATTTGCATTTGTCATTGAAGCTTGTCAAGTGGCTGTTTGTATCTGCAGTGCTTCTTCCCTTCTCTTCCTCACATAAACACTTTTCTTGATCACATATTTGGCACTTGGCACTTACAAACTGACACCTTCAGACTTCCAGAAACTTGATGGGATAGGCAGCTGTAGGCTCTCCCCGCCCAAAGAAAGCATAGAAATTGTATAGAATATAAACATGTAAGATTGTTGTTCATGCCTGGCAAGCTTAAAAGAGAGTCAGAGAAATCTCCAAGAAGCAGAAAAAAAAAAAAACAGGGGAGGTTGACCCAGAGCATTGGCTGGTGAGTTGGAGCCATGAGACCCAAAGGGCTAGGCAGGACCCAGAGAGAGAGACTGATGCTTAGGTTCTGGACAAGAATCGCGATGCCTACAGTTGAGAATCCTAAAAGTGTCGAATTCGCAGGAGAACTGCATCCTCTGCGAAAAAAAGAAACAAAAGGAACTCTTCAAATCCCAAGATGGGGCTAAAAAGAGAATTGTCTGCCAGAGGTCCTGGACTGAAGAAAGATCTCATAAAAAATGGAGACATGGAAATCCCAGTTAGTCTCATGTGTGGCTGTTGGGAATAGTTTGGGCTGTGTTTAAATTTTAATACCAGCATAGGAATGGAATCTCCAGGTAAGAGATTGGCCTCAAAACTGGTCCCAATTCAGTGAAACCCCCATGGACCCAGGAGGAATCCAGCCCAAAATTGTTCTATAGGATTATTTATACAGCCCAGATTACATGAGATGCCCACATGAAAAAATAATAATAAAAACATTAGGGCAACCCCCTGGGGTCCCCTCCCACTGTGGGAGCTTATCTGTCCTCTCAATAAATACTGCTTCCTCAAAATAATAATAATAATGTTGAAGACGAGCTCCAAATCAAAATTACTAAAGATGAGCTCCAAATCAAAATTACTAACCACACATTGCAAAAACCAGTATAAATGAGCATCAGAGAAATGAGAATTAGTCCTTCTAAGCACATGAGATAATAGAGAAATCAGAGAAAAAAATGTAAAGAGAATAGAATAGGCCTAAGCAAAATTCCACAATGAAAATACATTAAAAAACCACACACAGGAAAGAAGCAATATTTCAAGGAGTGTGATGAGACTGCCCTGAATTGAAGAAAGACTTGAGTCTTGAAGAAAATCCATTAAATCCCAAGCAGGAAGAATAAAAATAAACAAACTTCAGAAAAGCTAATAATAAGAAAAATGCAGAATACCAAAGAAGAGATCTTAAAACCACTTGAGACGAGAGAGGGGGTTTGTACAAAATAATGACAATTAAACCAACAACCAACTTTTCATTAGCAACTATAGAATTAAAACTTCAGAAAGCTAAGGGAAAATTATTGTCAACTTCAATTCTATACTCAATTAAATTATTTTATAAGAATAAAAGTGAAATAGACATTTTCATACAAAGTCAAAGCAATTTCCTACTCTCAGGTTCTAACAAAGATATCTACCAAAGAATAACTAATAAATAATATCTTAGTAGGAAGGAAATTGATCATAAGCAACAAGGGTAAGAAGTCAGAACCACCAGTAAGCAAAATTGCACATGTGAATAAATTTAAATAAATTCTTTAAAATAACTATTACAACAATAGTGATTTAAAACAAAATCACCAAAGAGATTTTAAATGGTTTAATAATTTGTTTTACTAGAGAATAATAGCTATGCTGACTAATTTTAGATTTTGATAAGTGTGTATTCTTCAATTTTAAGTATGAACATTTAAAGAAATGCATAATTCAAAATAATAAAGGGTGAATAAAAATAGTACAACAGCTCAGTAGAGAGCAGGAAAGAAAGAAAAGGGGAAAAAAATGAAGTAGAGTAAATATAAAGCATGAAATAATAAGATAAAAATAAGTCAGCTCTAGGATCTACAAGAAACTCAAAGGTGCTGAAAAGAAAAAAAAGCAAACAGTCCCATTACAAAGTGGGCAAAACAGATGAATAGGCAGTTCTCAAAAGATGTATGAGCAGCCAACAGATACATGAAAAAATGCTCAGCCCTACTAGTCATCAAAGAAATGCAAATTAAAACCACACTGAGATACTACCTAACTCCAGTCAGGATAGCCATCATCAATAACTCAAAAAACAACAGATGCTGGAGAGGATGCAGCGAAAAGGAAAAACTTCTACACTGTTGATGGGAGTGTAAACTAGTACAGCCTCTGTGGAAAGTGGTATGACAATTCCTAAGAGATCTAAAAATTGACCTCCCATATAAGCCCACAATCCCTCTACTGGAAATATACCCAGAGGAACTTAAATCACTCTATGAAAAAGATACCTGCACACGCGTGTTTATTGCATCATTGTTCACAATAGCAAAAACATGGAACCAACCATCCTGCCCATTGAAAGAGGACTGAATTGTAAAAATGTGGTACATATGCATGATGGAATATTATGCAGTCATAAAGAAGGACTAAATTATGAACTAAGC